GAGATCTCCGTCATAAATAACATCACAAATGCACAGAGAGGCGTATGCGTACGTCGTGTGATGAATTTCAAATCAGAGAAATGAAACCCAGCAACAAGCATGCTTATCATCGGTCTGTCTGCTTTTAGATGCGGGTGTAATAAATATCTTAGTAGTGTCATGAACTGCCATGGCTGTTGCAACAGACAGAAACAAACATCCACCACTGAGTGTAAGTTCATAAACAGATGGGAGGGGGGTTTAGGTCCCTTTTTTTCTTGGTATAATATAACTGTAAATCTCCACACATTTGCTGCTATCTCAGTTTTCTAATAATCCTGAAATAAGCCCTGATGATGTCTCATGATAAGCAGACTTCTTTGTTCTGCCCGTATAATGGTCAATTTGTCAGTTTTAGCCACAGCAGAGATGAGGGCAACTGATCACCTATTCGCATTCAAATAAACTGCTAATTAATTGGGTCTATATATCACTGCGAGAAAAAGTCGAGGGATCATCCTTTAGCTCTGCAGTCTATCCGGCACACCTCTCTCATCACATTCAAATGTTCTACTTTTACGCTACACATTGCTCAGCATTCCCATTTCCAGGTTCCAATTACTAATTACTAAGTTCTTTCATCTATTGTAACGTTACTGTATCAAGAAGATTTCTATGGTGGACAAAAACAGCCATACTTCCGAAATACATGGGGGCAGAAGTTATTTAATGTTGAAAGTTAATGTTGAAATTATTGAAGGAACTAATAATAATGGAGAGTAGAAAGTTTAAAACAAATCTGACTTTCAATAATCAAACTACTCTAACAGATCCCCATTTCATTTAGTCACAGGACTTTGTGACTCGAGGATTAGTCTCTAACTAAACAAGGAAGATGGAGAACAGTCAGGAAGTGTGGCCAAAAAAAAGGAATTGAAATGACTTTTCAGAAAATTAATTGCTTGAACACATGTGCCGATATATTAATAGAACTCAGATATAGAAGGAGAAATTAAACACTGAAGCATAGATGCAATTACAATACTTCAAACAAATTGGCAGTGACCAATCAAATCACTTGACTATCTGGGGCAGAATGGTAGTTTTTCAAACAAGGGCTATCTGTGGAACCAGAACAGAGGGAAAATGAATTATTCTGGTACAGAGAGTGTGGATATAGGGTGTGTGTACATGGGTATCTGTGTTTACTAAGCATATTCAAAATGATTAATTACACATTTTCTGCCTACCTTTGTATTCTGTCTGATTACAAGTCAAACACATTATAAAGAATTGGTATTAGGACTAGTCTCCAAAATAGGGATAGGGTTAAAGACAGAACAAGACATTTTGCTAATAATTTAAGCTTTAACAGTTCTTCTGAATTAGATCTTGTTCCTTTAGTCTTACTGCCATTACTCATTAGGTTGGTTTACATTCACCTGCTATTTAGGACCATTTTCAGCTGTTTTCACAGTCTTATGTACAGCAATGCAGAAAATAAAAAACGATCTAGTGCACTTGGCTGAGGTGGAATAGCTGGTGTGTCGATAAAAGCAAAATGCGACAAAGTGCA